TCAGCTTGCTGGTATAAAGCAAATAATAGTCATAAAGAGAAATTTCTGTCAGATTCATAATGACTGCTCCATGTTACCTGATAATGCCTAAGTCATCTATCTCTCGCTGCTGTGGAGTAATGACACTAAACAAGTTGAATCGTGCTCAGATCTATAAATCAGTCTGAATGCAATGAGTTTTTCCACTGTGCAAGAACTCAACATGATATGTAATAATGTCAATTTTATGGGTTTAAATTTCTCTGAGGCCACTCATAAAAAATGAGCAAGCTATATGTGACAGTTAGGCAATTTGGAGGAATTTGTCTTTTTTTCATCTGGTGTCGGCTTGATGCTCACTAAGAATCCACTCTTCCCCTTGTACGACATGCAGATTTGTGTTCTCCTTCTAAATTAGTGCGACGAGTGAGCTGCTGAATTAGATGATCGGTGAGCTGGCGTGATGTTACACCGTCATTTGTTTTGCAACAATCTGTGGGCAGAGCACAATCTGCGTGGACCGTACGTGACATGTCACTGTCAGCAGTTTGGTGTTGTGAACGCGGGACAAAAACGGTGAGGAAGGCTTGTATTTGAGGAAAATGAGTAGCAGTCAGTTAAAAGAGCAGGCAGAGGCTGTACAAGGGGTGATGGACAGCCCACTAACAACCTCTTTATGTTTATTAGGCCACCAATGTTAGAATAACAGACACTACGGGGTGTGGGGTGGGCTTTTACGTTGTCTTGAAAAACCCACTGAATGCTGCTAAATAAAAACTAGAAACCTCTATTTTAGTAGGGTTTTCACAACTTAGAGTGAAGTTATATAAACAAAGTGACAAAATGCAAAGCAAATGTTTAGCAGTCAACAGTCCACTGGCCACTGATGCTACATGTTCATCCAGGAAGAGTAAATGCTTCAAGTTATTGATTGGATGCAATCAGCTGAGTTTTCCTGGATACAAAAGCTTTCAAACTGATTTAAATAATAAACTGAAATTGACTGCACTTTTTCATAATAATGTTTAAGTGGAGAGTATCAGCGTTGAATCTGTCTTCATATTTGGATTAAATAGAGCTTTTTTTTGTAAGTTAGTACAACTGAAATAAACTGAACTGAAGTGATTTAAACTTTTTATTTATTTATATGAAACATCAATATTCTAGACAAATGTAAAGAACAGGGAAAAACTACCAATTGTCTACAATTTGAAGAACTACTACGGACCTAATGGGTAGTTACCTGGTACTTAATGGGGCATACTCAGCACAGCCTTATTATGGGACTACTGCTTAGTTACCTGGGAAACACAAAATAACTAAACAGGGACTAATGTGTGGTTACCAAGGAAACAAAGATGAACTAATCAGGAACTGATATGTTGTTACCAAGGAAACAAAGAGTAACTAATCATGAACTGATATGTAGTTACCAAGGAAACAAAGGCTGTGTCGAAATGTCCGCCATAACCCCTAAATCCCTCAATCACTATAAAGCGGGGAGCGGGGACTATATATTGAACTCTGTTAACTGACCGTTTGGACAGATCATCACTACTTTCGCTCCCCCCGTTGGTCACGTAACCCCGCCTCCCTGCATGGTGCATGCACCATCTTTGTCGCTGCTGCCAGAACCAGACAGTGGACCTCTGTCAAAACAATCCCATGATGCTTTGCGAGGAGAGTTCTTGCAACACAATCTGGGATATATCTGCTCCTCCCTCTAGTGACCATGGATGATCACTACCTTTCAAGGTGCACTGTGGGAAATTCTAGTCCACTATATTTTCATCCACTAGACATTCGGACATCTATTTGAAATGGCGTAACCACTATATAGTGGTAAGAGCGGATATTCGGACACAGCTAAAGAGTAACGGGACAGGAATTGATATGTAGTTACCAAGGAAACAAAGAGTACATAGAAAGGATCTAATGGGTTATTATCATCATGGAGGATGATCATGGAGGAACTAATAAGGAATTAAAGCATATTTAACCAGTACAGACAGTGTCAGAGGACTATTTGTTCTAGGCAGCAAAAGTAGAGTAGAAATTCTCATTGTTGATTCTGAATAAACGCTAAACCTGAGAAGTCACAGATTGCCATAACACAACTTTATTGAGTACCAAATTAATTCCTAGCTATTATTTTATGGCCTTTATTGAGTCAAGCTTTATATCAAGCTAAGGAACTATTACTTAAATAGCTAGTGTCTGACCATTATCTTTATTATAAAATGCATTGTAAATTATTACCACCAGACCTAACAAAGATGGATAAATTGTAGAGATAAAGAGTACAGACAGATGACATACATTGTGCCTTCCACAAATCTGTCCTTCATAGAAGAAGTAAAATTAGTCTCTTGTCTAGCTGGTGGAGAAGTATAACAAAGGATTTGTGTTGTAATTAAAGCTGAATGTAGTTCTTGAAAGTATTGATTTAGACTGAGATACAAAATGCCCAAGTTATATTTTTAATTTGTAAAAACTTTGTGTATTGTTTTTTCTTCTTAAATATTCATTAAAAATGTTACTTAAAATAAACCATTAAATCCAAATAAGGTGCACTGAGATTTAAAAAGAAAAACAAGTCAAAAAGTTCAAGAATACCCTAACCTCAGGCATAAAAATACTTAAGTGGGCAGAGCACAAAGTAAGTCATTTTGCTGCTGATAGCTCATAAAGCTTAACCTCAGCAAAACCACCAGCCTCCTTTTGGCTTCCTATTCTGTGATACTTAGCTGAAGCTTAGTGGGACTTGACAAGGCAATGCAGTTCTGCCCCAGTAAACAACTGCGGAGTCCTCAGTCCCAGATCAACATCCTGAACTCAATAACAAGTTGCAAGCACGCAGTTTGTCAGGGACCCATCTGGACATCAACTGAACATCGACTGAAAGCTGCACTTGTTTTTCTTTTTTTTTTTATAGACTGTGAATTCCACCCTTGTTTGTGAGCCAATTTTAAATAATTACAAAAGCAGGGGATTTAATCAAGGACCAGCTGTCTGAAGAAATGCATGTGTGTGGTTTTTTTATGTTTGTGTGCACCGATGAGGTCCTTGCATCAAAGTGAATCGGAATATCAGAGAGGAGCAGCTATGGCAACATCTGAAGCTTTCCCTTAATATGGCAAACAAACACACACACCACCCACACACATTATCATATTGCTATATGTAGTGAGGACCGTGTGTTGATTTCCCTTGACTTTCATCGATTTTAGGTCATTTGACAATAACCATAAACCCAATTAACACATGGCATACCTAACCCTAATCCCCTAAACTCAATTTATGCATTAGTCCTACACTTAACCATTGGCAAAAAAAAGAAGTGAGGACAGCAGATTGTCCTCACTTGGGTCATCAAATCGATGGTGAAATCAGAAAGATGGCCTTCACTCCAAGGCCAAAACAGAAACACACACACACAGAAGAACGCACTGCCACATCTCCGGCACACTAAAGCAAGCCTTCACACATCCATGTCCGGATCTGGGGTTCGAGTGTTTAGAAAAACACTGTCAGCATGCGGTGATAAGAGAAGAACCATCTGCCTCACTGTTACAAATATCTTGAACGTGTGAAAGATGCTGTGCGGTTAATGGACTCGCGCAATGTGCTATTGTCTTTTAAAATAACAAAATCTGGTGAGACGTGTGACACACTATCCATCTGTCACACTCAGCATCTATCACACCACAGATTAGCTGCTACAACTGTCTGATGAGGCTTTACTTCACCCATTGACTGATCTAGCTTTAAAAGTATTCTTAAGATTGGACCAAAGAGGGAGTAAACAGGTGAATTATATCTACTCTTGAGTGTTTTTTTTTTTACCCCAAATATCAAATCATCACGTTTAGTAGAAGTAAAATACTGGGAAATTCTGTGGTTTCGGAAAGGCACTTAAAATATTTACATAGCAGTCAGCGGTCCAATAATGGCCAGCAAAGCTGCGAGCTACTCTGCTGGATGTATCAGCAGAACCTATGATTTAAATGCAGTGCTTTTATCCCCTAGTTTCTCAACAGATCTGCTCAGCAGTGGTAAAATAAAGGAAAATGTAATGTTTTAACTGAAAAAGCTAAACATTTTTGGGTTGAACATCAGTTTTTTTTAAAAAACAGTAGAATAAAATGACATAGTTAGATAAATGATGCCTACATGGATAAAATATGTGTCAAAATAAATATCCACCAGTGTTGTACGAACTTAAATTGAATTTCCTTAATTTGAAGGGACTTTAAACCTTCACTTCTATTTATGTTGAGCTTTTTATTTCTGCACAGCTCTCTTAAAGACTCACCGCACCGTTTCAATCAGGCTGAAGTCTGACTCTAATGAGACAATTGGAACATCCTAATCTTTGTTTTTTAGTCATTCAGTAGTACTTTTGCTGTGCTGTCTTTAGAATCACTATGCCGTTGATTAAACTGTTTAAGCTGAGCTTTATCACTTGGACGGATGGCCTCACATTAGACTCTAAATAAATGGTAAAAAGAATATTCAAAGTCATGAAGATGCAAAGAAATAAAAGACCAAACTATTCTGTTGTCCTGCTGTTTGTCTTTATATGCTTTGTTTGGTTTTCCTTGTACAAGGAAATGTAGTATAAGATCTTTACTTTAGTGTAATCTGTCAAACAGACTGTTCTAGAATTCTTGTGGTTTTTTGAGAAAATAATTTGCTAACAACTCCTTTGCTACCTCAACGCTACTGTTAGGGCTATGTGGAAAGAGGGCTTTAAGATCATATATATTGTATACACCGGGCATCAGTCGCTGTCCTGCAGGTTTTAGAGGTTTCCTTGCTCCAGCACAGCTGATTTTAATTGAAAGCTGATTAACAGGCTTTTGCTCAACTGCAATTATTATAATCAGCTGTGCTAAAGCAGGGGAAGCTCTAAAACCTGCAGGATGCCTGGTATATACTTAGAAAAAAGAAAACAGTTAAAACATAAGTGAATAAAGTTTATTTTAGCTGACAAATCATTCCCTTGAGCATTTTCCTACCTGAGAGATTCGGCCATGCGCCGTAGGTCTTCATTCTGCTGCTTAAGCCGCTCCAACTTTGCCAGAATCTTAGAGAGTTCCCTACTGGACCGCTCCGGATGCTCGCTGTCCCTCACCAAATGGCCACCGATGTAGAAGAGGAGTGTGCCCCAAGCCAGCAGCACCAGGGTAATCCATCGCCATGAGCCTGCCCAGGGCCGCATGCTTTCACCAAGCCTAACCCAAATGTCTTGTGGTGTGCCCTTCCACCCGTCGATCCACCAGCTGGCCTGCCTGCCTTGAAGCGCACGCAAGCTCTGTTTCCCCCGTCACCAGAAATGCCACCGCATTAATCTTAGCACTGGCATCTTTGCAAGGATGACGAATGGCGGATAAGCGGGAGATGTTTGCCTTTTCGGCTCAGGATTATCAATGGAAAGGTAAATGGTGCTTCTCCAGTGATTAGCCGGTCCTTTCTGTGTGCTAAAGCATGATGACCTGATTGTTGGCTTCACCTCTCCCCCAGCTCCGCGCTGACCAGCTGATCAATGAGCCCTGTTTGGTGTTCCTCCAGTACGGCTGGATTGTTTTATTAAAGTTGCATTCTGTAGAGAGAAACAAAGAAAAGAGACTTAGCTGGATAACAAATGGTTTATTTTGATTTGCAAACAAGCTCAATTATTTCTTAATTCTCCTAATGCAAATAAAACCAGTCAAAGATTAGCAAAAAGGAACAATTGAACCAAAACGGAAAAACTAAAATTGCCAGTTTCATGCAGAAGGGTGGAAAAAGCAGCCTAGGATGCTGCTGACTTGTCACTAAAGACATCTGTCTCAGCATCCCACAAGATTGATCAGCATGACACTGCGATTTGCATTTTCACAGTGATTTGCAGTCTCTTAGCTGAACTACACCTCTTTAGATACAGGACGCGGATGTACCACTTTTCTGTCTGTAGCCTCTTCCAACATTACGTACCTGCTTGTATACATGCACAATGAACTCATTGATTTACAGGAGCAACCACAATGAAATGAATGCAACCCAATCAATACATATCTCCCTGCTTATCCAATCAAGCTTAGTTAAGAGCTGCACTTACTTACTTTAAAAATGAGTACAAAAAAGAAGAGATACTTGTTTCGTGATTGACAAATTATGTTTTTTAAGGATCTGAAAAGATTTGTAGAACATTATAACTAATAAATCATTGCATTTTTTCCTAATCTTTATATCATATAAGGAGCAACAGATTGGTTGTTAATAGTAAATTGAAGGGGTTTAGAGATTTGATCAATCTAATCAGCATGGTTTATTTTCTTGTATTTTTAAACCCCAATACCCCCAAAACCCAAAACAGTCCGATAAGCATTACCCGCCCATTAATTGCTGCATTTTCCAGAAAGAAAAATCCATCAAAAGTTGCTCTGATAAGCTCTGTGACAGACTGCACCAGTGTCAAGGTGATTCAGCGAGCTACCACAGCAGAGCAACAACAACAACAAAAGAAATCCAGAATCACCTCTCTCCTTCATCCCAAAGCAGCAGAGACGATGGAGATGGATGTGTGCTGGGTACATGAAGCAACCTTCGCTGTCAGCCCTCAAACAAAGCCCTGCCTGTGACCTGTGACAGGATGAAGACTGGCAGATATCTGGATACAACTGTGCAAGTCATCCTTGTGTGTGCCATCATAGCGGCACACTAGTTTCACGCCAAATATCCAAGATGTTCCTCAAGTAGCCATGGTTAGGATGAGTAATTGGCATTCTCTTTTTGTAAGCTTTTAAAACTGATTAAAATGTGTAAGGGATCTCCAGTAATGTGGATTTGTAGGTCATAAATGGTCCTATGCTGTGAAACTTTAGGGGTCTGCTCAGGAGGGAGGGGTGGAAACTTTCCAACATGGAGCAGATGTTATCAGAGAAGGAAAAGATTATTTTCACTATTTGTTGAATGACGTGGAAGCACTGAAACCAGTGCGATGGTTAGTAACAGTCTGCATTTGTTCCTCTCTTTAAGCATGAAACACAACAAAGTGCTGAGTTGTGTTTTGTTAAGGAAAATAAGAGGCATGTGAGGATAGGACTTTACTAGATAATGCATAACTGGGACTCCACTGAAAGCCAACAAATCCTTGGCACTGCGTTTGCATAAAAATATCTCCTCTCACTACAGAAGAAAAAAGCAACTAAAAAATTGTCTGTGGATAAAGAAACTAAAAGAATCTGTTTTCATATGCAGCAATTTTTTTGGGATAGAGCTAAAGAGGACCTACTTTTTCAGCATCTTCACTCAAGAGCCAAGTGTTGCTAGGTAACAAATAACATCTTCAGTGTCCTCTAATGTCCGTTTCTTTTTCTTCCCATGGTTTTATAGTTTTGGAAGGCTCAAACTCCTTCTTGATTTTGATTGTTCAGAGGAACAGAACAGTAATTGACAAGGTCAGCATTCCAATAACTCTAATAAACTGAAAGATCTGGGAATGCATGGCGGTCCACCACATCCCAAGCGCATTGTTGTGACGATGACATTGAACGCTGTCAACCATAAATGTCATGAAATTCATAAGGAAAACTCACACCCTCAGCAATAAAAGACACTACTATATTATTGACGACTGCTTTCTTCTCATAACTGCTTCTCACCTCATTTTTTACTTTCACATATTAAAGTATTTTGAGACATTGGGGAATGAGGCTTAAAATGACTTTTAGGTTTAGTTTCTAAAAGATGGCACATGTTGCTATGGCATTTGGGATTTGAGCATGACATAAATAAGTGATGAAATAAACAGCTCTAAAAGTTACAGAATTCGTTTGAAGCGTATTAACAACCAGCAAAAAGCCTATTGCTGTCCTACGTCTTTATCCAACTTATGTCATCACACATTGCTGTAATGAACAGTAAATGGAGGAAAGCTTTAATGAATATGTTGCAACCAGGGAAGTTGTTCTTATTGAACAATAACTAACTGATTAGCATCAATTGCGATATTGATCCTAGCTAGAATGCTGAATGGTAAATGGCCTGTACTTATAGGCTACGTTTACACTGCAGGCCTTGATGCTCAATTCCGATTTTTTTGTGAAATCTGATTTTTTTTTTTTGCGTTGCCGTTCACATTTCCAAATATATGCGACTTGTATCTTATCTCCTGTGTGAACTGCAGTCATACAACGCAAGTGTCCCGCCTGTGCAGTAGAGGACGCAATGATGTCACATGCCAGCGTGTTCTATGTTTACGGAAGTAAAAATGGATGGTAGTACCGGCGCGCATCTAGAGGTCTTTTACAACCATAAAAACTCAATCTTTTCAATATGGTTAAACATAAATACTGCTCTCCGCATCATCATCTGCCATGGTTCTTGGTTTTCTTGCCGCTTCTGCATAGCAAGACCCAGAATAATGGCCTTTGTCGGGTATTATTGGCGTTCAGGTCGGATGGATGCGACCTGGCCGTTCACACACAGGTCGCATGTGTTTGATCCCCAAAGCCTCCTAATGGGGTTGATCAAAAGAAATAGGCTTGTGCATAAGCCTATTTCTCCTCATCCACGCCCCGTTTAAAATGTGCTGTTCTCATAGCTCATACAAGCTTACTGTGTGTACATACAGCAGGGACTATATAGTGGACTTTATACCAAACTCAGTTAACTGACCATTCGGACAGATGATCATTGCTTTTTATACCTCGTTGGTCACGCAACTTTTCCTCCATTGCGCGGGGCCGTCACCATCTTTGTCATTAGTTGCCACTGTCGGCTAGCAACAGCCTATGGTGACAGCATTATGGGATTTGCTGCAGCTGTGACAGCAAATCACATAACGCTTTGTGAGGAGAGCACTCTGTGCAAAGCATTCTGGGATATATCTGCCTCTTCTGAAGCCTTTCTTTTTTTCTGATACACTTCGTACACACTTTTTTTCTCTTACGACCCTCGACCATTTTCAAACAACCGCGGTGAGAAAGGTGAGCTTCAATGACTGAAACCGTAGTTTACCACAGATAAACACCTGAAAGTGGGCATGTGCAAAAATAAGATAGCTAACGGAACAAGCATGTAGGACAAGCCTTATGTAAACAAATCACCAGAATGACTGACAATTAGGAGGAACACGTATTAAGATGATCCACACGGAAATAAAAGATTGTCCTCTATACCTTTAATATAGTATAAACATTTAAGAATGCATAGAGTTTACACGGTATTCAAGTGATAAGGATAATGAGTCTTTTTAATGTCTAAACAGCAGACATTGACCAGAAGCACTTCTGTCCTTACTACCGAGATAGAAATTATAAAGTTTACTGTTTTTTTGCAAGTAGATAGATAAACTGCCCCTAATCTGTTTCCTTGGTTTGCTATAAACCTTAAAGCATAAAGACATTGACAGCATTTTATTTTTTGCGTATAAGTTATTATAGCTAACTAAAAACTACTGTCACATCACACACCATTTCCAAATATCATGCTGCCCTCATTTTTCTGCCCAACAAAACAATGAAAAAGATTTTTTGACATAGAATATTTGGCCTATAATCATTTCCAAACCCTAATGCAAAAATACAAATATTAGTAGTACAATCCTCTACACATTTATGACAGTAACTACTTCTAATAAAAATAAAGTAAATAAACATATTCGTGTTCAAAGGATGCACATAATTCAGGCTCAAATGTATATTCAGTTTCTAAATGAAGGCCATTTGTACCAAAGGAACATGAGAGCAATTATTAAAAGCAGTCAGTGCCTTCAGAAAATGAGCAAAGATTGTTCTACAGTCCCTTTTCATCAGGCCTTTCAGTTTAGCTTTGCTTTGATGTAGAGGCACAGGAGAGGGGAAACACATTTTCTAAAGTTTCAGATAGCTGGGTTTTTATAATTAAAAGAACCAAAAGATATCTATTGAGCACTGTGTCCGCAGAAAGTAACCCGATTAAAGGGAAAATGTTGCTCCGCAATGATACTCTACTACAATTTGTTCCACTGATGAAAATCTGTGAGAGTAATATTACACTATAGATTTGAGCATATTCTAAACCCTCTCACATCTGCCCTTCAGTCAAATGAACAGAAGGGTATACATTATTAATAGAAATGTTAATAATGTCAGTTAAATAAATAAGAGTTCCCTTCAGTGGGGACAATTATTTAAGTTGGACAGTGTAACAGAGTTGCTGACAGAGGGATTTTATGGAACTTTTCTTCTTTATTTCTCTAAATCGTCAGCCTGAAAGTAATGCAGAGACATGAATGCCAGCGCTTAGCAGTAATGGACAGGATGAAATATGTTTCCCTTTAAACATGCAGCCTCGCTTCTTAATAAATGGCAGTGATAAGGACGGTTGTGCTGTTCATAAACACAAGCTTTGTCTGCACCTGCTGTACCCCAGCTCACCAAAGCTTTCTCTTAACCTTGAGTTTCCGATAACATTATTATGTCACAGAGTACCCTTTACAGTCTGAGGTGTATGTGTGACACCATAGGGAGGACTGTTGGCACTGCCACAAAATGGAGCGGAGTAAGAAAAGTTAAAGAAGCCTGGGGGGGTGAGGAGGACTGACCTGCTTCTGTGGATGTTGGTTATTTTTTTTAGTGTGA